CAACAAACTGTGGCTGACTCTGAGAAGCATGGGAATCCCAGAACACTTGATTGTGCTTATGGGAAACCTATACTCAGACCTGAAGGCACTTCAGGGAAACACTGCATGGTTCAAAATCAGGAAGGGTGCATGCCAGAGATGTCTCCAATCTCTATGCCTTTTCAACCTACATGCAGAACAGGAAGGCTGGGCTGTATGAGGAGACATGTGACATCAAGATTGGAGGAAGATTCATCAACAACATGTGTTATGCAAGTGACACAACCTTGTATGCTGAAACTGAGTAGGACCTGAAGTGCTTGCTGCAGAAGGTCAAAGACTGCAGCCTTAGCTATGGGTTGAATTTCAACAACAAGAAAACAAAGATTCTCACCACTGGGCTGTTTGGCAGCATCATGATAGATGGTAAAGAGATCGAGATTGTTAAAAGCTTCAGTTTGCTTGGCTCCACAATTAAACCTTTTGGTATCAGCAGCCACAAAATCAAAAGACTAATTGCATTGGGGAAAATCTGCTGTCAGAGACCTCTTTAGAGTACTGAAGAGCAGTGATAACAGTCTGGAAATTAAGGTGTGCTTGATATCCAGACCATGGTCTTAGTAGTTACTTGCTGTGCATCAGAGAACTGGACAGTGACTGAGGATGTAGAAAGAGAATTGATGCCTTTGAGCTGGGTTGCTGGAAAAGAGTATTGAATATTCCATGTACTGCTAGGAGAACAAACAGGTTTGTCCTAGAGAGAGTGAGACCAGGCTGCTCCTTGGAGGCAAGGATTCTGAAGCTCCGTCTGAAATACTTTGGTCATCTTGCAAGGAGGAACCAGTCCTTGGAGAGGGATATTATGCTTGGGAGGGTGGAGGAACAGTGCAAGAGAAGAAAACCCTCGATGAGATGGATTGACTCAGTGACTAGGGTAGTGTGGGTAGGTGTGTCAGAGATTATAAAGTTGGCACAGGATAGAGCAGGGTTTAGGGCTGTTGTACATAGGGCCGCATGAGTCCATAAGTGACTCGATGGCTCATAACAAGGTTAGTAGCAGATCAATTTTAAGAAATAATGGAGTCAAAGGTGTCCAGATGTTTGATTTGCTTTCTAACTCCATGATTTCTGACATCAGCAGCCCCTCCATCATCCTGTTTCCTCATTCTTGTATGTCTCGTTGGTTCAGTGATCGGTTGGAAGGTCCCCCAGAGGCTCAGGCCCAGCAGAGGAGTGACTCATGTGACTGTAGGTTTGTCGGCTGGTTTTGCAGTGTCTGGTGAGCATTGTAGACTGCCAGGTTGAAGTGCAGCTAGAAAGCAAGGACACCACTCCCCCCAACAAAAGAAATAGCTTTTAGCTCTCAAGCCTGAGCATGGTGGGGTTTGTATCCCTTCCCGATCCTGTCTCCTTAATACACTAAATACTTCCACACAAAATAAACAGTTAATCAATGGCTAGGAAAGCTATTTGGAACAGTAAGCCTTAGACACCACAATAGCAAGTCTTCTCATTGCTTCCTTGTGGTTTTTTTTTCATCGCTTCCTTATTTATTGTCCACCGTTTACATTCATGTATGACAACTGAAAAGACCGGCGTGGGTCAGGAATATGTTCTCAAAGTGACAGCAGATCTGCTCCACACAGTACAGCTGTCCCTGCAGTTTTACAGAATCCTAACTCATGAGACTTGTTACTTAAGAGGTGTAAATTTTGGTCTGACTTAGTTTTTGTTGATGATAACATGATTTTCTGAGCTGAGTTGCAATATATTTTTCATGTATCCTTATATTTAATGTTTTTGTTGATGCAGTTAAGTATATTGAGCTAGTCTGTTGGGGTTTTATTCATAGGTGCTTAACACCATTTATTTTAAAGGTTTTAATATTTGCATACTGGATTTTGGGTTCTTTTTGGTTTTTTAATATCTTAGCAGATGTTCAGAGGATGATTTTCAACTCATTAACCATTTTGAACCAGTTTCCGGGTTGTATAAGAATTATATGTTCTTTTAGCAGTTTTAAGTTCTTAGTTGTATTTTTCTGATTTTACGTCTTTTCAGAGCTTACCACTAAAATGTATTTTTATTTTTGTACATTAACTACGTTTTTCAATTCTTGTACTAGGATCATAGAACTCAATGGCGGTCAGCCACCTCTAACCTACAAAAGATTCCAGACTCTGATCAGGAAAATGGAACCCCTGGAGATACCAGTAGAGACAGTTACCTCAGAAATGGTAGAAAAATGCACGACCCCTCTGTCTGATGACCATGATGAGAAATACGGAGTCCCTTCACTGGAAGAACTAGGTGAGTATAAATGTGATAAATGTAGAACTTGAGTTACAAAATCACAAATCACTCAGAATATCTCATGTCCAGTTCTGCCATGTATAGCATTTACAACTAAATACTAAAATAATAAAAAAAATGAACAAATAAAAGAAACCCTTAAGCAGAGAGATGATAAATCTGCACATTTTTCCGAGTCCTGTAAATAGATATTTGACATTTTGTTATCACGTTCAGATGTGTTATTCTTTTTTTTTTCCTTTAATTTTTATTGTATTGTTTTTACATGTACCGTCAAATCAGATCTGACTGATAGAGGAGGAGATTGCCCCCTCCTTCTCCAGCAGAGCATCTGGTGGATTTGAACCTCGTACCTCTGGGATTGCAGTGCAGCATCTTGCCACTAGGCCACCAGAGCTTCCTTCAGATGTGTTATTCTTGTTGATAGGTTTCATTGACTCAGCTCCAGCTCACAACAACTTTATACAGAACAAAACAAAACACAGGCCAGTGCTGTGCCGTCTACAGTCTCAGCTGTGCTTAAGCCCATAGTTGCCAGTACTAGAGCAGTCCATCCTATTGAGAATTTTCTTTATTTTTTTTACTGAATCTCTGCTTTACCAAGCATGTTGTTTTATTCCAGCAGCTGGACCGTCCTGATAACACTTCCAGTGTACATGAGACAGTCTTATCGTCCTCAATTATAAAGTGCATTTTGACTGCACATCTTCTAAGACAGATGTGTTTGTTCTTTTGACAGTCCATGGTTAATTTGATATTCTCACTAACACCACAATTCTAAGACATAGCGGAATATGCAAAGAGCTGATATGTCTTGGAGAAAGTGCATCTAGATCAGTCATGTTATTTCGGGCCCGTTGTTAGGGGCTATTTCTTGGAAAGGTGTATCATGCATGGAAAGGTGGAGGGTCAGCCAAAGGAAGGAAGACCCTTAACCAGGTGGATTGACATAGTGACTTCAGCCCTTGGTTCAAGTGTGTCAGAGATGATGAAGATAAAAGAGACTTCAAATCTGTTGTCCTTAGGTAATTAGGAGTTTTATTCAAGGGCACCTGACAACATTTCTTCATTTTCCCTTATTCAGTGTCCAGCTTTCGCATACATATGTAGTGATTAAAAATACCCTGGGTAACATTGTGAACCGTAATCTTTAAAGTGACTTCCTTGCTCTTCAATACTTTAAAGAGGTATTGAACACTGCAGTATGTCGCTTGATGTCTTAACTCCTGTGTTCATGGGTGCTGATTTTGAATCCTAGTAAAATTAAATCCTTGACAGTTTCAGTATTTTTTTCTGCTTACCATAATGTTGTTTAGTGGTCTGTTTATGGGGACTTTTGTTTTCTTGTTGTTGAGGTGTATTTCTTACTGAAGGCTGTAATCTTTCTTTATCATCAGTACGTGCTTCAAATTTTCTTCATTTTCTGCAAGCGAAGTTGTATCATCTGCATAACACAAGTTGTCGATGAGTCTTCCTTTGATCCCGATGCTACTTTCTTCTTCAGATAGTCCAGCTTCTCACTTATTGGTCCAGCATAGAGATCAAATAGATACGGTGAAGGACACAACCATGGTACACAATTTCATTTTAAACCATTAGTGTCCCCTTGTTATTTTCAAACAACTGCTTCTTGGTTTAGGTACAGGCTCCACATGAACAAACAGCATTAAGTATCCTGGAATTCCTGGGATTTTTGCCATGTCATCCATAATTGATTATGATCTGTATAACTGTACGTCTTGGCATAGTCAGTACAGCATAAGTAAACATCTTCCTGCCAGTGTCAGCAAGGAGGTCCGTTGTTCCATATCATCTTCTGAGTCTAGTTTGAATTTCTGATTGTTCCTGTCAATGTACTGTTCAGATATAGATATAGAGCTAGAGATATAGATATATGAGAGGGTATCCAGAGCCCTCATATAATTTCTATGCTACTCCTAAAATTTTTCCACAAAGTATTATGACTCAGTAAAAAAAAAAAATGTATATTTTTTTTCCAAAAAAATTTTTTTTTTCTTTTTTTCAGGTTTTGATACAGATGGTTTACCTTCTGCAGTGTGGCCAGGTGGAGAAACAGAAGCCCTTACACGTCTGGAAAGGCATTTGGAAAGAAAGGTAAGACAATATAAATGTAAAAGAGTGTATGCATTGTTTGGTATCTGTTAATGCCACAGTGGGGAAAAATCTTCACCAATATCATTTGCAGCATAAAACCAATTCCTGTGAGGCCAGACAGACCTTCTCCAACTTTCCCCAAACCTACTCCTGTCAGTTCTACTGCAGCCATCTCTCCCAGGCCTTTGCTGCTCTGCAGCTGGGTCCAATCTGTCATCATGGCTGCACACAACTCACATGCCAGTTCTCAGTTATGGTTACTGTTAATAGAGGTTAACAGGTACAACAAGACAAGATAGAGTCAGGACATAGTTTTCAATCAGGTCAGTTCCTCAGGCATCGTCACCAGTACTTTGACACTCAGACTTGAAACTTTGAGTCCCTGTTCCAAAGCTCTCTTTGTCCTGCCTTCTAATTACAGTGTCTCTGCCAGCACTCCACTAAGCCTAGGTGGAGGGCCTCAGCCCTGGCTCACTGGAGCAGTACTTTCAGTTTAGTGCTATCTCATTTTGATCTCTGGTTTTCTGCTTCCTTTGCTGCTGATGCTACTGGTGCTTCTGGTACAGTGTCTCAGTTTTGGTCTATCTCCGTTATGTGTGGGAATGGCTCGGAAGGACAAGTTCTGCATGTACTCTTAGCTGCTGCTTTCTTTTGTATTTTAAACTTTTAATTGTAATTTTAGCAAAAGTTTACAGAAAAGTTAGATTTTCATTCATTCATTCATTGTTGCACATTTTCACGCCCCCCCCCTTCTCTCCCCAGTCTTCTTTGCAATGTTCCACTTATTCTGGGCTGTTATTGTACATAAAATGCTTAATCATGCATTCTTTTTAAACAGTTCTTTCCTTCATTTATTCCAGGGCTATGTTCATTCTCACTGGTGGTATAATACATGGCAAATTGTACTGCTAACCCCCAAATTTCCATTTTCTACCTGGTAAAATGGACCAGTCCGTCATTAGTAGTCTACACATTTTCTTTTGCATGTTTTCACTCAAAAGATGCTGTTCACCTCATTCACACTAATAGTATAGTCCACCCCCACTGTGTGGCCAAAAGTCCAAGCCAGTGGCTAGAAAGTGATTTTGAACCATCAGCCTACGACACCACAAGGAATACAGCCATGCTAATATTTCCAAAATGGCATTTTGAAATAATATTTCAGTATTTAAAATTAAATAGAAACTAAACTACTGAAAAGAAAGAACTAAGGAAAACAATTAAAAAAACTGAAACAGCACAAACTCCCCAGGGGAGAACTCACTCCTTAATTAATCATGCGAGATCTCTAGGGCTGTATTTGCCCAGGTCAAAAGCCCACAAAGCAGGAAGGGATAGGCTCTAAGGAAGAATGCCCGGAAATGAGAATGACAAGGAGGAAGTGGGAGAACTGATAGGACAATGTGGAGATTATAATTTTTATGTCATAAAACAAAATCTGTGTGAATAAGTGCATGGAAAACCAATTTGCTCTGTACACATTAACTCAGAGCACAAAAAAAATGTTCCAAACAGCAAAAAAACAAGCAAACTTAACTGTCTGCACAAGCTTGTCTCCTCATGTGACTGCCCTGAACCATTCTCTCCTGATCCATTAGCCTCCACCTGATGCACGTTTTTCTTTCTCTCCGAGCTGGTAGCTGATGATTAGAACTTGGAAGGTGAGGTAGAACTCTTTTCTCGCACCTTTACCCTATTGAAGTTTCAAGTGTCAGAGAGGCAGTTAGGAGGAACTCCCAGCCTTTTGTTAGGACTTCAGAAATCACTTGTTTCAGTTGTCTGTGTCCTATATGAGGATGGTTGGAAGAAAGAAAACAATTTCACTTTTTTCTTCTTTTTCATTGACATATGTCATTTGTAACTGGGATAAGAATGGGATTTTATTCCCCAGAACTATGTCACTTTTAAAAACAAATCTCAATTTTGACCACTCCTTGAGAATGGAAAGGCAGTTAGCTAATGTCACTCTTTATGCTTTCAGGCTTGGGTGGCCAACTTTGAAAGACCTCGAATGAATGCAAATTCCCTGCTTGCAAGCCCTACTGGACTCAGCCCTTACCTCCGGTTTGGTTGTTTGTCATGCCGTCTCTTTTACTTCAAATTAACAGATCTTTACAAAAAGGTATTATCTGAAACTGGACCTAGTTTCTCAAAGACCTTTTTTAAAAAAATTGCCTGATGATACTTTGGTTTTTTATTTCAGGTGAAGAAGAACAGCTCCCCTCCCCTTTCTCTTTATGGGCAGCTATTATGGCGTGAATTTTTCTATACAGCAGCAACAAATAATCCACGCTTTGACAAAATGGAAGGGAACCCTATCTGTGTACAGATTCCTTGGGATAAGAATCCTGAGGCTTTAGCCAAATGGGCAGAAGGCCGGACAGGTTTTCCCTGGATTGATGCCATTATGACACAGCTTCGGCAAGAGGGTTGGATTCACCACTTAGCCAGACATGCAGTTGCTTGTTTCCTGACACGAGGTGACCTGTGGATTAGTTGGGAAGAAGGGATGAAGGTAAATGTTCTTCTTTCTTTTCTTTTCTTTTTTTTTTAATTTTTTTTATTTTATTATATTTGTGTGAGTGTACCGTCAAATCATATCTGACAGGTACAGGAGGAGATTGTCCCTCCTTCCCTGGCAGAGCATCTGGTGGATTTGAACCGTGCGCCTCTGGGATTGTAGTTGCAGCTCCTTACCACTAGGTCACCAGAGTTCCCCGGTAAATGTTCTTCTAACGATAATGTGGTAGAGGTGGTATGTGCTATCAGTTAAAGAGTGACTCACCGCTGATCCTCCAGTGGGTTTTCAGAAGCAGTAAATTACATAGGAGGAGATTGCCTGTCTTTCTGCTGGGGATCACCTGGTGAATTTGAACTCTGACATTGAGTTGACAGTGTAGCTTCTCACCACTAGACTACGAGCACTCCCTATCTAAGTATGATCTTATTTGGGTAGAATGCTGCTGTATTAAATCAAACCCTAGATCTTACCTGTTATGTTATACTATTTATTAGGTTATTTGTTTATTGTTTCTTTTTCTAGTGCTAAAGCATTTGAGTCCCAAATGTTCAGAGACAGAAGAAATCTGGACACCAGACAGTGAAAACTGGATAAATTAGTTAGGCTGAAGTCATTTTATTGGATAAACAAGTTTGGGTTATTTTAATTTGTTTGTTTTTAGAATTCACCTGTGGGTTTTTAGAGTTAATAGTTATTTCTTCAAATAAATTTTAAATATAAGTCATTTCACCCCATTTTACTCTCACAACCTTTGGGAGCATTTGTGGTAACAGAGTGCTTAAAAATGCTTAAAGTGACGACACACAACAATAATACAGTGGAACAAATGAAGAGAAGGACTATCTGAAAGGAAATAATGATTTGACATTATATGTATGACAGTAATCTGGAACAAAATATGCATTATAAAGTGAATTGGGGGAGGGCGGGGAGGAAAATGTGTATCAATATGTGAATGAAAATCTACCCTTCCTGTAAATTTTACTAAAACCACGTTTAAAATATTTAACAACAACAACAACAATGCTTAAAGCACTTGGATCCGAAAAAAAAAAGCTGCTCCATGGGAGAGATGTGGCAGTCTGCTTCCACAGAAATGAAAGCCTTGCAAACTCTGTGGGCAGTTTTGCTCTGTTCTACTGGATTACTGTGAGTGAAAGTCAACTTGGCAATGGTGGGGTTAGGTTTTGGCTGATGGCACAATGATTAAGCATCAGACTGCTAACTGAAAGTTAGGTAGTTCAAATCCTCAGCTTCTCAACTGGAGAAAGAGTGGCATTCTACTTCTATAAAGATGGTTTTTTGTAGAACATGACTCATAGCGACCCTATGCACTCTGTATAAAGATTAGAGCTTTGGATACCCTAGGTTGCTGATTCAGAATTAACTTGAAGCCACAGCTTTGTTTTTTTGTTTTAAAGACGCCTGATACAGTGACTGGTGACAGTGGCCATGTTGGAGAGTGCAAGGGATAGGACAGAACAAAGTTCAGATCCACTCATAAGGTCACTCTGAGTCATAGTTGATGTGACATGTGACAGCCACATTTCTGACAATACCATACTATTATATGTAATGGGATTGATTTCTGTTTTACTTTCTTGGATTTATTATTACTTTTCCCTGTATTAAGACTATTTCCTGAATCTATGTTAACATTTTTGCATCTTTTATTTCCTAGTAAACACAGTGGTTTTAAAACACCCTTTTTTTCCATGTTTTTCCCTTTAAGGTTAAGGAATTACAGATTTGAACTCTCTTCTAACTGAAAGCCACTGCTGTCAGGCTGGTTCTGACTCCTGGTGACCTTCTATCAGGCGTCCAGGGCTGTAATCTTTATAGAAGGATACTGCCTATCTCTGTCCCATGGAGGAACTGGTGAATGTTAACAGCCAACTTACTAGTTCACAGCCTAGCACGTTCTGGACTCTGCCACCATGACTCCTTACATGTCCCTTGTTATGTCCTTTTGAATCAAAGCTGACCCTCCAGTGGGTTTTCAGAGGGTATAAAATCACAGGAGAGATTATTCATCTTTCTCCCACAGAACAGCTGGTGGAATCAAACCACATACCTTTGGGTGGGCAGCTGAATTCCTTACCAGTAAGACACCGGAGATTCCTTCCATGGCGCTAGTATATGTTAAAAGTAAATTTCATTTGAGTGGTCCTTTGATGTATGTTAGTGGACCAAGCGTCTACATTTTGATTGATCATTTATTTGATAGCGTTTTTGCTCTTCTGAAACCATTTTATTCCCTTTGTTTTGTTTTACTTACCTCTTTTAAATCATTGTATTAATGAGTTCTTTTACCATTCCCTTCCCCACCATAACACTTGACAGAGGTTCGTAAACTTAAGTTTTATGTCACAATTTACTCAGTGCAAATATGCTTTGCCCAGAATGGCTCATTAAAGAGTCTTGTGCAGTAGACATAGACACGCAAACTAACATGGGAACGCTTAGTTTTCAATTCTTGCTAGATTCTTTTTCACCTTGACTTTTGTCCTGCAGTGACCTTGACAGTGCTTGCTTTGAAATGCTGTTTGTGCACACTCCTCTGTCACTGTTTTCTCTGAAGGTCTTTGAAGAACTGCTGCTTGATGCAGACTGGAGCATAAATGCTGGGAGCTGGATGTGGCTGTCGTGCAGTTCCTTTTTCCAACAGTTTTTTCACTGCTACTGTCCTGTTGGTTTTGGTAGGAGAACAGATCCCAATGGAGATTATATCAGGTAAGTAAGGGTGATTATGCATCTGTGTAGAATAGTGAATTCAAGAAAAACTTAACATTTCCTATTTAAGCAACTATTCAAATAACAGAGATAAGAACAGAAAGCAGACCACTTAAATGATACTGATTTGCTCTGGTGCACAGAGCTAATAATTTGGTACAGTTCGCTTACAGTGCATTTTAAGTCCCTCCCTTCCTTCTTTCTAAAAGGCGTTACCTGCCTGTCCTGAGAGGCTTCCCTGCGAAATACATCTACGATCCCTGGAATGCACCAGAAGGGATCCAGAAGGTAGCCAAATGCTTGATAGGCGTTAACTACCCCAAACCAATGGTGAACCATGCCGAGGCGAGCCGCCTGAACATTGAGAGGATGAAACAGATCTACCAGCAGCTCTCGCGGTACAGAGGCCTAGGTACGGCAGAAACTCTCCATGGCAGCCAGTTAGATCCAGATCCTCAGGTTCTGGCCAGATCTTAATTTAATAGCAACTTTTCCCCCTTAGGTCTTCTTGCTTCAGTGCCTTCTAATCCAAATGGGAATGGCGGTCTCATGGGCTATTCTCCTGGAGAAAATATCCCAGGCTGCAGCAGCAGTGGAAGTAAGTGAAAAGGAAATGTCTACATGTGCTCAATAAATGACCAGTAATCAGATTGACTGTTTATGGAATTCCACGGGAGTATGTTTTGGAGAATCTTATCTTTAAAATGACTGTATTCCATTTTTCTGTGAGCAAGTGCATATTCATATGGGCACACGCGTGCACACACATCCATTCTCACTCGTGGTGGCACTTTAGAGTAAAGTACAAGTACGGAGTAGAATTTATAACAAGTTAAAGATCTTGTAAAGAAACCAGAATTTTAAAGGATGCCATGAAGTTCAAATTCATACTTTCAGAATGCTCGCTTTTTGTTTTCTTTAGGGACATACCAGCTATTAGATAATTACTTAAGAAGTCCAGTAGCGCTGTGAAAGTAGGAAAAGGTTTTTTGTAATTTTCTGCATAGAGTTCTTCCTGGAGAAAGCCTTCTCTAATGCTTTTTTTATATCAAATGTACTTAATTATCATACAAATTCTTAGCATGTATGATGTTGATAACATCTAAGAAGCCAGGATTTTGGAAATTCACAACATTGTGTTAATTTTCAAAGACTCTAAGCAAAAATAGAATGAGGTGAATGAATATGTTAAAAACAAGGCACCTTTTGTGGAATGGTTTTGCTTTTTAAAGGCACTTGTTCTAAATTGATATTTTAATAAAAAAACACCAAACAACATTTTTAGGGGAGCTCTGATGGCCTGGTGACAAGAAGCTGCACTGTAATGCCTGAGGCATACGGTTCGAATCCACCAGATTCTCTGCTGGAGAAGGAGGGACAATCTCCTCCTGTACCAGTCAGATCTGATTTGATGGTACACACACACAAAATAATAAAATTTTAAAAAATCATTTAAACACTGTACTTTTTTAAAAAAACTAATTTTAATGAAAGTCTACAGAGACTTAGGGTTTCCAGTCATTCTAGGCTTGCTTAAGGGCATGGGGAACGGGGAAGAACCCATGTGTGTTCAGCACTTTGAGCTCTGGTGGCCTAGTGAGTAAAGAGTTGGTCTGCCAGCCCAAAGGCAGAAAGTTCAAATACACCAGCTGCTCCAGAGAGAAAGATGAGCAGTCCCCTACTGTGCAGTTTACAGCCTCTGAAAACCCATTGGAGAGTCAGCTGTGAGCTGGTTCTAATTCCATGGCAATGAAAATTAGTTCTAAAAGAAGAAGGCAGGGTTATCTTCAGAAAAGGAGATATTATGCAAAGTAGTGGGGTTCCTGAGCTGACCTTGAAGGTGGTCGCTTTGTGGTTAGCTGTTGGGTCGTCACAGAATGTATTGCTGTTAGGTGCTATCTAGTTGTTAGGTGCTACATCAGCCTTATGGCTTCCCGTTTTACCCTATTGGAGAAGTTTTTGGATGTGCTTAGCGATTTGATTCTTAGAAGGTCCCATTCATCTATTTTATCTTCTCCTGGCTGTAGATTTTTCAGGATACTTGGAAGACTGTTTATGTTGCAGATTAGGACTACTACAGTTCTTCCAAAC